ATGGGCACCATGTGACAGGGCTGGATGGGACTTGAGCGGTCACCTGAACCCATTCTGGGTGAGGCAACAGGCCTACTGAGTACGGGTTAGCATCTGCTATGCTAGTGCTGGGATTTCATTCCAGGTCTGCCTTGCTCCTGACTGGGTCTTCTGGAAAAAAAAAAAAAAACGCTACCACACTCAGCCCAGATTCTCCTCAGAGCTGTGCCTTCCCCCACTCAGAAGGTCTGTGACATGGATCTCTACCCCTCTGCCTCTTCCTGCGCAGGCTGCCCAGGCTGTGGGTGGCCGGATAGGTGTAAACATTATTTTTAAGAGAACGCAGGACAGCTGAGGAGTAAGGTAGAGGCCAAGGTGAGCCGCTCTGTCCACAGGTGTGTGTGGGAGAACGTATCTGACAATGTGTGTGTGTGTGTGTGTGTGTGTGTGTGTGTGTGTGTGTGTGGAGGGGGGGTTGGGGCGGGTGCGAGGGGAGGCGTTGCTCAGAGCTACCAGCCTGAGGCCGTGGTAAAGGTGCTTTACTGGAATTCTGAATTCCACAGGCTGGTTCCTGGGGCCCACAGGGAATGCTCAGATCCCTGAGGGTTTGGTTCTCACGTTAGGGTGAAGGAGTAGCACTGGATGTAGGGGGAGGTTTCCTTAAAAGTTCATGCCTCCTCGGGTTTCAGAGTGGCTGAGTACGCACTTCTGGGCAACTAGGGGACAAGCACTCAGCGACAGGGGGTGGGGCCGCACGCGCAGCATGCTGACAGTGGGCAGGTAGACTTCAGGCTGCATGCTTGGGAACCCCTGGAACAGGAGAGTGGGGAGGGTCCAGGGAAGCGCGAGCCCAGCTTTGCATAGGGATCAAAAGAGATGGAGAGCTAAACACGTATACAAACCACGGTCCAAAACCTTTCCTGCGCAACAGCCGCGCAACCCTGGGACCCGCACTCGGAAGGATGAGCTGACGGGCGTCCACGCAGCCCCGCTGCAGCTCAGGCAGGGCCCCATCCCCGGCCTCGCTCCCGCTCGGCTACCTTGGTCCGAACTTGCTCGGGCTTCCAGTGCGGCCGCAGCTCCCGGATGAGGCGCAGGGCACCGGGGAGGATGTCGTCCTGATCCACCGTGACGCCGAAGCACGGGACGGCGGCCCTCGGGGGCTCGGGTGGCTCCCAGCAGCCAACGCTGGCCGCCGCCTTCTCCTCCATGCCCCATGAGCACTGCGGGCAGAGCGCCTGCCTCCGCAGGTAAAAGGGCGAGCACGGCACTGGAGCTGAAGGGGGCACAGCCATTCCCAGCAGCCCCACCCCCTCGGAGCCGCCGCGCCCGCGTTAGCCCCTACCGGGAGGCCTTGAGAGGGAGTGGGAGTGGTCGAGGAGGGGCCAGGGGAAGTCCATGACTCATGAGCTAGCTGCCCGCTCCGATCGCCGGCGCGCAGCCCCGCAACACAGCTGGCCGGGGATCGCCGGGGTCCGCCGCGACAGTGACATCACGGGCCGCAGCAACGCCCCCTGCCCGGCCCGCCCCCGCCTCCCGGCGTGTGCCGCCCGCCATCTCCCCTAGCTGGGGCCGTGACTACCTGGAGCTCGGGGTGGGGGTGGTGCCCCGCCTTAATGGCGCAAAGGGCGGAGCCTCAGGCCCCTCCCCAGGTCCCTGCTTGAGCATCCTCTTGCGGGATGACCCGTTTCCCATAGGGGCCCCGCAGCTCTTTGCCAGCTCGTTCTCGGTAGCCAAGGGTAGGGCATGGGGCTCGTCTTTGTCCCCACCCCATCCTGGAATAAGGAGATCAGCTGCTCCCAAAGTGTGGGCTTTGGTTTGCCTTCAAATCCCTGGACCCCTGGAAAAGGTTGGGCTGCATTTCTAAGGCTTCCAGGCATCATTCACCACCACAAACACATTCAATGGAAAGACATATGGTGATGGTGCCGGAGTGAGTGTCCCGTAGGCAGACTGGACTCTAACTGAACATTCCCGGGTATTTTATGAGTACACGAGCACATTGAGACTCACTAAATAATCCTTAAATCTCCTCCCTGTCCTGAGAAGCTGACTGGGCCCAGGGAGTAGATTCGTGCACAGAAGCCTGTAGCTCGGTGCTTTGTTGAGCAAAGAGGTGATCAAAGGCCTGGCGCAACCCATGGACCGAAGTGCGAGCGGAGTGGCTGAGGATACAGATCCTGGAGGAAAGGATGATAAGTCCTCTGGCAGACTTGCTGTGGCGAGGAGACACGTGGAAAGATGCAATGCCAGCCTTTGGAAAGCCCCTCTCTCGGTCATATGTTCTCCTGGTCACCTCCGGAGCTAACCATATTACTTACTGCCCTCGGCTACAGCAAAACCTGGACTTGCCTCAGAGACCTCAGTGCTTACATCTCACACTGCCGCAACTTGAAAAATGCCCACAAAATGGATGTGTTTCTGTGTCCCCGAGTTGTCCTTTTGACCTGTTCAGGAACCTCTCAACCACAAGGCCCTTTGATTCTTGCTGCCCAGAACCCAGGTCTTCTGGTACACTTTCTATGCTGATGCCTCTTACAGTGGCCACCAGCCCCACGTGGCTACTCAGCACTGGAAATGTGACCAGTGTGGCATTTTGTGTAACTTTAATCTTAATAAGGATGTAAATAGCCATTTGGAGCCACCGTGTTGGACATTGTAGCCGATGATAGAGGATGAACTGCCTACTTAAGGTCATGAAGCCCCAGGATGCAGGCACTGGAAAGGACATTGCCTCCAGCTCTTTCTTTTGCAATAGGCAAAGAAAACCATGCTGGGCAAGGGATCATAATTAGTGGGAGTCCAGGCTCTTGGTCTCAGCTCTGTGCCAGGACTTGGCAAGCAGCTCCTGCCATGCAAATACCACCTCGGAGAAGCCCCGGGACCCTTAACCCCAGAGAGTGAAATCCTACAGATTCCAAGGGCTTCGTTGGGATATTCAGTACCTTATACTTTTGTGGTCAAAAGAGGGATAAGAAGCTACAGGTAGATGCTGCTTTCTCATCCCCTAAGCTATGCAGCCTGGGGGGACGGGTGAGTGGGGGGAAGAGCCCTCAGCCTGTGGTGTCCTCAGGCCTTGAGGTGGAAGATAGCAGCCTGTGTGTGCACCTGACCCAAACCAAGGTGTCCGAAGCCCTGTCCCTGTGCGAAGCCCTCCTCCCATGGGATTGAGGTGGAAGTCCCTAGGGCCTGAGTCAGCTGGGCTGGGTTCTAGGGTAGTTTTTCACTGTTTTTCAGGATTCTTCCCTGCATGACTCCTCACCAAATGATCTTGGGAAAAATGCCTTTCCGTCTCTATGTACTTATCACATGTGAGGTAGGATTGCTGGATGTCTGAAGTCCTGTGTTCTTAGGTGGTGATGACTTAGATTGCCTGTGTAAATGGTCACCTGGGCAGAAGCATATAGAGGGTATAGAGCAAGCTGAGAGGAATTTCCCAGGGAACTCCATATAAAGTCCAGTTGCTCAGCAGCACAGAGCCTGGGGTCAGTACTGGCTTCTATGAGCGTCTTACTGACAGTCTTAGTCAGGGTTCCTATTGCTGTTATGAAACACCACGACCAAAGCAACTCGGGGATGACAGGGTTTGACTTTCACTTCCACAGTTCATCAAAGGAAGTCGAGACAGGAGCTCAAGCAGAGCGGGAACGGGGGAGGCAGGAGCTGATGCAGAGGCCATGAAAGAGTCCTGCTTACTGACTTGCTCCCTCTGGCTTGTTCAGCCTGCTTTGTTATAGAACCTGGCCCCACCCACAATGGGCTGGGCCATCCCACATCTATCACTAATTAAGAAAATGTTCTATAGGCTTGCCTGTAGCCCCATCTGATGGAGGCATTTTCTTAATTGAGGTTCCCTCATCTCAGATGACTAGCTTTTGTCACGGTTTGTAGGGGGAAAGGGCCAACCAAAGAAACCCACCCTGGCCCTGTAATCCACTCTGGCCCTGAAACCAGAACCAAACAAACACACCTTGACCCTGAGAGCAATGTCAGAGAAACATACTTTGGTCCTGGAACCAGAGCCCAAAGGCTAAGAAGGGCTAGTGAAAGAAACACACTTTTGCCCTGAGAGGAGAGCCAAATCAGCCCATGACCAACTGATCATGAAACCAATCAATCCCTGAGCAGGAAAACCAACCAATCCCTGAGCAGAAAACCAACCAATCCCTGAGCACAAAATCTAGCCAATCTGAATTTGTCCAAGCTCAAAGGGATTGAAAGCCGATCAATTTCCACCCTGAAAATCTTCTCCCTGGAAAAACTCTGCCCCTAAGCAGCCCTATATAAACCCTCACCTGTTCAGTTTGCGGCTGCCTTTCTCTACCCTGGCAGAGGCAGCCCCCCTCCTGGATTCTTCCCTGCCAATAAATCTCTTGAGTGAGGTTTGGGTGAGACCTTCTTTGCCCTGGAGCAGAGACAGAGCTTGGGCAGCGCAGAGCAGAGCAAGGCTGTAACACTGTGGCTGGGGAAACCATCCCCTAGTGGAGCAGCTTTGTTACACTCCCGGGACCTGAGCAGAACTGTAACAACTTCACTGGGGAGACCTTCCTCTCCTGGGCGCAGAGTTGTTACATTGGGGAAACCTTTCCCTGCTGCAGGGCTGTAAGCGGCTAGCTTACAGTGACTTGTGATACTCCTTGGCTCCCGGCTACCAGGAACCCTTTCCATCCGAGCTGTAATGCTCACAAAGTTTACATAAAACTAGCCAGTATATTTACCTACACTCTATTGCCGTAGCCCTAAGGTTTTTTTCCCCAGTGGCCCTAGAGGAACAGGGGCCTATCTCTGCAAACTCCCCAGCCAAGGTTGCATGAACAAGCTCTGTGTGAATCCTGTTGACAGTGGATGGAACGCATTGACCTTGTATAAAAAAGCATGTGGGGGCGGGTGTCTGTTTTGTCACATTCTCCCTTTCCCTCTCTCTCCAACTGTCTCTCTGTGCTTATGTCTCTGTGTGTGTGTGTGTGTGTGTGTGTGTGTGTGTGTGTGTGTGTGTGTGTGTGTAGAGGCCAAAAGACAACTTCAATTATCGGTATCAAACCCCAAGGATCTGCTTATCTCTACACCCCCCACCCCCCTAGTTGCCATCATGCCTGGGTCTTGTTGTTGTTGTTTTTGTTTTTTTTAACTATGGGTTCTGGGGATCAAACCCAGGCTCTCACACTTAGGAAACAAGCACTTTACTGACAAAGCTCCATCTCCAGCCCCATCTGTCCTATGTGTCTTCTCCACATGTGACCACACAAGTATCCCTCCTTCTGCTCCAAACGCAAGAATCCACCGGAAACAGGCTGTAAATAGGAAGTCTTTATTCTGTCTTTCCTCAAAGCAGGGAAGGGTGAGCGCAGGTGAGGGGACAAGCACTCACCAGGAACTGTGTCCAGTGTCCCTGTCGGGAGGGGGGGAAACCCTGATGACAAAATGGTCCTCGGGAACGCCAGCTTTGCCTCGGCCTGAAACCAGGCTCACTGGGTCACCGAGGGCGTTAGCGGGCCAAGGCAAACCCAATGCGGTTGTTATGCCGATCGAACTCCGTGTAGAACTTGCGGATGAAGCTGGCACCCAGGACCCAGACAGGCCCAGTGGGTGGCGGGATGTCCAGGCCATGGAGAGCCAATGTGCATAGGTCATCAGTCCTGTAGGGATCCTGGCAAGAAGCCGGAGGCTTGCTCTGTTGCCCGTGACACAACCGCTTCCCACCACCTGACCCCAGCTTGTGTGCCCCAACTCTCCTACACCCTTCCAGAGCCGTTTGAGCCCAGCCTAAATTCCAGCCTTCCTGGGGCAGGCAGGCACTGTGGTAGATATCAGGCAAACAGTGTGTCTACCCTGTGTTCACAGGCCAACTTAGCTTCTGACCCAGACCAAGTCACTGAACTTTTTTCTAGGCCCGTGAGTGTGAAAAGGGCTGGCCTTGAACTCACTTGCCTCTGCCTCCTGAGTGCTGGGATTAAAGGCATGTACCACCACCACCCAGCTGGATCTGGGGCATTTTGAAAACTCTGATTTTCAGGTGCATGTTATGGAAGTTCTGATCTGCTAGGCGAGGCATGGGTACTGGGATTGTTAACAGTTCACTAGATGGCATGAGCCGCCTTCATGACCCATGGGGCTAGTAGGTGATCTGTACACTACAGTTTCTCCCCTTTCGGCAGCTCCTGCCCACTCTTCTCACTGAGCCCCACCTGTAGCACGTAGTCCAGACTGGTGAGTGTGTAGGCTCTGCCTCCCAGGTGGAAGGAGATGTCGGGGAGGGTGGGTACCTGGTTACAGTCCACGACATACTGGGGGAATGAAGGAAGCTCTTTTCAGTGTGGAGATCTCTGAGAAGTCCAGAGCCCTGTGCCAGAGAGTCCTGGACAGTCTCTGCTCACCCTCCACGGGAGACATGCCACCCATGCAGGGAGTGTGAGGGGTGAGGAGGAGATGGCTTGAAATGGCTTTGTCTGGGACCCAGTGCTGTCTGGATGGGTTGGAGACTGGAGCCAGGTGGCGCTACCAGTGCCCCATCCCCCCCATCCCCTCCTTACCCCCATCCCCTCCCCCCTGTCCCCACCCACTGCCATTCCCTCCACCTATTTCTTACTTCATCTGTGCTCTGCTCCTTGGCTCCCAGGGTTTGCATGATCAGCTTCAGAGAGCTCGTAGGCCCCGAGATATAGGATGCACCAGTGTCCACCACTGCCATGCAGCCCTCCGCACACAGCAAGGTGGCGGACCCCACAGATACCCTGTGGAGGCTACCATTAGACAGGCAGACAGACAGACAAGAAGGCAGGCAGGCAGAAGCTGCCAGGCACCCTTCCCCCAGCCTGCATGTCTTTCCCAATTAAGGGTAGTGATAGGAGGTCGTACAAGTGGTCTGGCGGTGCATTGGAGGAGAGCTGAGGCACAGAGAAGGTGCTGGCTGTTCCTTGTCATCAACACATAGACTAGAGACTCCACCTCCTCTCCCCGAGTCCTCTCCTTCCCATCCCCAAATCCCATCCTATGCCCCCACCCTGGACAGAGCTGGCAGAGAGCAGATAGTGGCTGGGCCATAAAGAGTGGCTGCCCCTGCCCTCACCCCAGCCAGTGTCAATCCCAGGGACAACACCAGTTTGGAGGGTTGGGAAGGTTATGATTGCTCACCCCCTTCATTGTGATCTGCCAGGAGCCAGTCTTGCTGACGCTCACGTAGTGAAAATTGCCTTGGTAATGCTGGGGGTCGCTGCCCCCCAGCACCAATTCTCCCCCCAGCAGGTGGGAGTCCCTAAAGGAAAGACCAACAGAAGTTAGAGCCATACAACCTTTGAAACCTGAGACTTCAGGGATGAGGGAAAGTTGACTGAGGTGCAGGGTGGGGTAGAGGGCTTTGGGGCAGAGGTAGGGTTTAGGGGGTAGATGGCAAGGCTGTAAATAGCTGTAATAGTGGCATGCAGAACCCATTGCTTCTCTCCCTTGCTGGCCCCTCCCCGAATGCAGCAGAAGTATTTCTAGGACCGTCTAGCTGCCTCCAGAAAACCTTCAGGTTCAGGATACAAGGTAGATGCACAGAAGTCATAAGTCATGCCTTCCGCACTTGGGTGCAACAGATGTGTGGAGCAGACTCCAGACTCTAGAGTCTAGGGAGAAATCAGACGTGTAAGGGGGCTGGGGCCTGAGGAGTGGGAGTCTGTGTGGGTGGCGGGCATGATTCCGGGGCAGAGGTCCGGGGAGTATTGGCGTTCGGGGCCACAGGGGGCTCCTGTCTCCTAAAGATTTCTGTTGAGACTGAGAGGGACGGGGAGAGGAGACCTTCTTTGTGGGCAAAGTTCAGCAACCCGGTTGTTTGGTAGGGGTAGAGGTTAACTCTCACGCTTCAGGCCGCTGAGTCACCAAAGAGTGAAATCACCCAGAGCTTGGTGGGCATGTGGTACCTAGAGCCAGTTTCTCGTTCCCCAGTCAAAGCTGATTGCCCTCACCTTCCTCTCCATGTTCATGGTTCTACCTCAGCCCAGGGCTGCCTTGGGCTGGTTTCCAAGGTACTTATGTGTATGTGAAGGAGTTTCTCAGAACCCGTGACATACACACATGTGCACATGTGTACACGGGGTAGGTGGGCCACATGTTCTGTTCAAGAATCAGTTACTTATATAAATGTCACTTCTTCCTAGCCCAAGCAGACCCCGGCTTACAGGCCTGCTTGCAGTCTGTTGCTGGACTCTAATTCCTTCCATGGCCCCCTACTTCCGAGCCCCAGGTATTTTAAGTCTTCCCATCAGCCCTTCTTCCACCGCTCAAGCATCCTCTAGCATTTAGAAGAGCCACCTCCCATTCCCTGCTTCTCTCTGGATCTTACCCCACACACCCCTGCCCCACGTCCTCTTCCCTGTTGAATTTCCCAAAGCAGCCCACATTTTGTGACCTACACTTTCTGACACCCACTTCCACTCTTAACCACTGTTTTTCTTGCCTCTACTGTTTGAAACACAGACTTCCCAGGACCCCTGACTGCAGCAGCCTCTGACTGGTGTAATTCACTCAAAGCCTCCCTTCCAGAGTCACCGTCCAGAGACTTCTGCTTCCTCCCAGGTTGCTCTAGAGTCCACCCCTCCCTTCCAATCTCATCAGCCCTGGCCTCCGTTCTTACCCGTAATGATTTTACCTCCAGCTCAGACCCTCTTTCTGAACCCAGAAATTGGCAGCCGATCCCAGCCCTGCTGGGATGCTGACCGCAGCTTCCCCAGGGCTGGTTGAACTGCACAGAATCCTGGCCTAGAATCAAAAAGGATCTGCGGCTTTCGGCACCAGGTGCCTGGTGTGCCCAAGGCATTCAGTGTGCTGTATTTCCTGTCTCCCCTACTGGATGGTAAGCACTATGAGGATGGAGGGTAGGGACTGTCTTGTTCACTGTGCACCCCTGGAGCCTCCCACAGCCCACGGCGCAGAGCACTGACTGGATCAGTGAGGGAACAAATAAGCCAAGGCATGAAGCTGGCTGTGTCTCTGTGGCCAGTCCCTAAGGACTGGATGTTTTTGATTTACATTCATTTTAATTGGCTAGTGTGTGGCTCTAGATATGGATTGAGGACCACCTAACCAGGAGCATGCAAATCCTGGCCTGGACTCTTGCTGTTCTTCCAGCTCTCTGCCCCTCCCTGCCTTGGCCTCGGGATCAAAGGCCCACCTGCTGTAGTAGACAGAAAAGACTTCCTCCTTCAGCACCCTCTGGGAGAGAATGTGGTCAAAGACCGGGGTGACCCCGCCGACGGCCTGAGCAGGAAAGCCCATGCCCAGAACCCCCATCAAACTTGGCCAGCATGAAGGGTATCAGGGGCAGCTCGGTGACCTCTCCAAATGTCTGTGTCACAGTGATTCCACCCACCTGTGAGAGAAGAACCAGAGTGGGTAGAGGTCACTGTCCAACCCTGGCCGGGGTCTGCTCTGGCTTCCACAACAGGGACCCCAGAGATACGCAGGTTCTGTACAGCAGTTAGGGTAAAACTATCCCAGCAAGCCTTCACAAACTCCCTCAACGCATCCACGCTTGGGGGCCAGAGAGATGGGGTTGACTAGTGCTGAGAAAGAGGTCCCTCCAGGCAGGTGATCTGCACCCCTCCCAGAGGCCCATTTTCGTGCTAGCCCCCCCAGGCCATGCTCAGGATTTCCCCATCATAACCAGGGCTTCGCTTTGTGCCCCCTCCCCCTGATTTCACAAGCACGGGGAGAGTGAAGGGCTCACACTGGTTCCTTCTGGGGCTCTATATGTGTCTTTCCCCTGGCTCAGGCACACAGCAGGACCTGTGACTCCACAAAATGGGCTTAGACACTGGCCAAAAGGAAGCAACCCACACCCCCGGCACAAAACCCGGATTCCCCAGTCTCAACAATACTCCATGCCTGGTCTGAATTGGTAAGTCCAGGCTTGTCACAAGGTTGGAAACTGGGGTTTTAGGCTTGCCCACACGGAAGTTTGATGCAAAGCCTTGTCAAGCAGTGCCAGCCTGCTTGCTCCTCTGCAACGCTGGTCTACGTAGCTTCAGCTAGAAGCTGCCAAGGAGGTTGTCCCTCAACTTCCCAAGGTGGGCCGGAGTACACCTGTCCTATTCCACATGGGCCCCATGGGTGTAAGGAGGGCTGGTCCCTACTTACAGTTACTATGTCCTGGCTGAGGAAGCCTTTGACCTTCCCTGATCCATAGTGGATGGTGAATTCGGTCCCGTTCTCCATGTAGCTGGAGGATTCCGAGGAGTCATAGAGGCTGTGAATCTCTAGCAGAAGGACACAGGCTCAGATCAGCATTAAGAGGTATTGACCTAGGCAGGAGGCTCAGAAGTGGGGCAAGTGGTGGATGTGGCTAGTATGGCTGAAGACTTAGCTCAGGTAGGTGTGTGTGTGTGTGTGTGTGTGTGTGTGTGTGTGTGTGTGTGTGTGTGTGTGTGTGTGTATGGTGGGGTTCCTGAGTCTCCAGCTTGGAAAAAAAAATGTACACCAGGGCTGGAGAGATGGCTCAGAGGTTAAGAGCACTGGCTACTCTTCCAGAGATCCTGAGTTCAATTCCCAGCAACCACATGGTGTGGCTCACAACCATCAATAGTGAGATCTGGTGCCCTCTTCTGACACACAGGCACACCGTATACAAAATAAATAAATAAATTAATTAATTAATTAATAAAAAAAATGTACACCAGTCAAGGATGGTGTTTCTTGGTTTTGTCTTAAGTGCTTTTGCTTCCGAGACATTTGTTTCAAACAAAGAATTCTATAGCCATTTGCTAACATTGATATAGTGCCAGAGAGGATTCTGGGTACAGAGTAGGTGCTTAGTGTGAGGGCATTCACTAAGGCTATCATTGGAAGAGCCTCAGGACTTGGAACGGGTTTGTAGACATTGTTTCTGATTGAATCCTAGGAACCCTGGGAAATGGCCTTCCAGGTGCCCAGGCACTTCCCTAAACTGACTTATTCACCTTGGTGGCCAATTCAGGAAGATGAGAGACATTTCTTCTCTTTTTTTCTAGGATCAATGGCCTGGGGCTAAGGGAAAGCAGGTCACTGGAAAATGGGCAACCGAGTGCAGCAGGAAGGGTTAGGGGGAGGCACAGGGCCTGACTCTTACCACAGGCAGTGTAGAGAGGACTGCACTTGGTGGAGGGGACCCAGAGGTTGGCTGAGCCCGTGTCAAAGATGACTTTGAAGGTCTGGGCTGGGGTGCCAATGCCAATCTCGCCGTAGTACTGGGTCTGCAGGGGTGGAAGGAAAGTGAGGACCCAGGCTCAGGAGCCTTGGGTTTGGGAGCCTTGCCTGCTCCCCATCTTGACTCTTGGCTTTCCATTTTGCTGAAGTGTATGAGCTCTGCCTTACCCTCTGCTGTCCTGGAATAGAGGAGACTCACTGAGGCATGGAAGCCTAATGAAAGTGGCTGAAATAGCTGGGCATGAACGAACCTGAGAGGCAGAGGCATGTAGATCTGTGAGTTTGAAGTCAACCTAGTCTATACAGTGAGTCCCAGGCCAGACCATGTCTCAAAAACAAAACAAACTGGGTGGCGGTGGTGAACACCTTTAATCCCAGCACTCAGGAGGCAGAGCCAGGCGGATCTCTGTGAGTTCGAGGCCAGCCTGGTCTGCAGAGCGAGATCCAGGACAGCCACCAAAACTACACAGAGAAACCCTGTCTCGAAAAACCAAAACAAACCACCACCAGCAAGATAGCCTCAGACTTCTCAGCTGTAAATAGTTCTATAGAGTACACAGGTGCTCTTTGGCTCAGTCAAGCATGGTGGGGAAGAGCAGGGCCTGCTAGTCCTAGAGAGAAAGGGAAATAGCAGCTGAGCTAGGCACTCACATCCAGGTAGTTGGTGAGGACCACGGGGGAGGTGCCGTTGCCAAAGGAGGACCTCTTGGTGAATTCACCCCATTCAGCACTGAGCTTGGTCATGTCCACCCCGCGCTCCTTCAGGATTTCCCGGACGGAGGGCATTTTCTTGAGCAAGATCCTGCTCCAGGGTAGAAGAAAAACAGAAGAGTCATGTAGTTCCCCAGCATCCTCAGAGCTCTTTGCCTTTGGTATGTCTATCACTACTAACCTTCTTGAAGGCACCTAAGAAGCACTTCTTGTGCCCTGGGGTTTCTACAGGAAAATATACAAGCCTCTTCGAGTACTTGGTATTTGGTACTAAATAATTCCCAAATCCCTTCTGTTGTCTCATTTTAACTAGTTAAGGAAATTTTTTTTGTCCACCCATCCATTATCATCATCCATCATCATCATCATCCCCACCATGTGTTGAGCACCTCGCTGTGACTCATTGTTCTGAATTGGGACTGCCTCTTGACCTCTCCTGATTGACAGGGGAGGCAGTGCCGTGTAGGGCCTGTAGGTGGCAGCAGATGCCCACGGCAGGCTTCAGGGACTTGCGGGACCCCTGGGGTATCACAGAACCACTGAACCCAGCCAGATTGAGATAGGCCAGTGTCTGTAGATTGCCTGTGTGCCTGCCTCAGCTGGGGAATGATGTGTCTTTGGCCTGAATCCCAGGCTCTTCACCTCACACCGGCCATCCTCCAATCACCTCTGACGGGCAGAATTAAAGAGGTGTCCGAACAGCAACCCACTGAGCCGCCCCTGGCCACCCAGCAGCTGCCTGGCACGCGCCCTCATACAAACCACACGACAGTTAGCTCTCTGTTTTCCAGTTGAGACACTGAAGGCTCATAGGGGTGAAGATGACTCAGAAATGCCAAACAGAGAGTCCATGCTCTGTCTGTCTGGCTGTCCTTCCTACCCAGGGCTGCCAGGCCCAGACAGGCATGAAGACCGTTTTGCAGTCAGAGAAAGGTACCTCGAGCCCTGGGCCAGGGAACTCCGGAAGAAGCCCACCTCGGTGGCGGTGTGCTTTCCTGGACACACAGAGGCCGTTTCCTCTCCAGCACGAGTCCTAACCTTTCCTGCTGGTACTGTTTCCTTACCCGCCCTGCCTTGTTCCTATCTCACACCTATCTGTGTGAACTCCAGCAGAAATGACCTACAGTCCTCCCATACTTTACTCTTCACAAGTATTTTCACACTTACTTTATTTGACCCCAGCCATCCCACAAGATAGGTGCTTTTATTATTCCTGCTTTATGGAGGAGGAAAGGAAAATATATCCAAACAAGCTCTGTTCCCCACCATCTCCTGAAAAGGCCCGTGCTTTGCCACACTGTGTGGCCCTCCCCCTTTTAGAAAACCCCTCCACAGTGGGGGTTTTCTGCACGCAATTCCAGCACTCAGGAGGCAGAGGAAGGTGGATCTCTGTGAATTTCAGTCCAATCTGGTCTATATGGCGAGTTCCAGACTCCATAGTGAGGCCCTGTCTCAAAAAGAAAAATAATCCTCTTCCATTCCTCTCCTAGACCTTTAGTCCTTCAAGGCATGACCAGAGCATGCCTGGATGCCCACCCCAAGGATGCCAGCCCAAGGGGCCATTTCCCCTGAGTGCTCCCCACCAGCCTAGCCTATGGGGATAGAGCCACGTGGTGCTGAGGACATGCTGTGTGACTCTGGTAATTCTCTAACCTTTCCAGCCTCTGGCACCTTGATGGTTGTGTCTTGCCCAGTCACTGCTCAAGCTAAGCAGGCAGCCTTCAGCTTGGAGGTTGGACATTGTGTGTATGTAAAGCAATGACCTTGAGACCTTTCAAGGTGACTTGTACAGTACACAGAGCCTGACCCCTTTTGGTGACTCCACTCTCTCTGTCACATGCTTTTGCTTTCTTAGGCATTTATCCTGGGGAGGGATGGTAGGAAGCACAATCCTCCCACCACCCTCCCACCACAGCAGCTGCTCTCTCTCTTTCTCTCTCTCTCTCTCTCTCTCTGCAAACCTGGGAGCAAAGGACGGGGAGGCTTTGGAAACAGAGGCCAGGGGCCTCAGACCTTCTGTGAGGACATCCCTAGTATCCTCATCTGCAAAATGGGCGCTGAGGGTTGGGGACGCGATTTAGGATGGAACAACCTATCAGATCCTACCACCAGATAGACTCACAACTTTTCTTTTCTTTTTCTTTTCTTTTTTTTTTTTTTTTTGAGACAAGGTTTCACTGTATAGCCTTGGCTGTCCTGGAACTCACTCTGTAGATCAGGCTGGCCTCGAACTCACAGAAATCCTCCTACTTCTGCCTCCCGAGTGCTGGGATTAAAAGCATGCATCAGGACTTCCCCAGACCCCGTCTCCATCCCCAGACTCTGACTCTGGGTGAGCCTTCTCCAAGTCTTGCCTCTTCCCTGTTCCTGCCTTAAGAAACCTTGTTCCAGTGCCAGGCAGTGGTGGCGCACGCCTTTAATCCCCACACTCGGGAGGCAGAGGCAGGCGGATCTCTGTGAGTTCAAGACCAGTCTGGTCTACAGAGTGAGTTCCAGGACAGCCAGAGCTGTTACACAGAGAAATCCTGTCTCTAAAACAACAAGAAAAAGAAGCCTAGCTCCCACAGGCCTGGAAATGCACTGAATGAATGTTTCATTTTGGGACTGCCAGGAGCCTTTCCTTACTACACTCAGTAGTAACCCACGCTATGGCCATGGCTTCTTTTTTTGGGGGGTGGGGGGTGTCGAGACAGGGTTTCTCTGTGTAGTTTTGGTGCCTGTCCTGGATCTTGCTCTGTAGATCAGGCTGGCCTCGAACTCACAGAGATCTGCCTGGCTCTGCCTCCCGAGTGCTGGGATTAAAAGCGTGTGCCACCACCACCCAGTGGCCACAAAGCAGTGTCTGTTATGATCCTATTTTAAAATGGTGCACTAAAACTTGGTGAGATTAGCTTGCTGCTGGAGCTGGCTTTACTGCTAGTGAAGCAGAAAATTGAACCTGGAAAAATCTAGAGGACCTGCACCTGACCTCTTCACCGTTCTCCTTGCCCAGGTGTGTTAACTTACCTGCGTCCTCCTCAATCATTGCGGTATGAACTTAGGCATCAGAAACACGTGGTCCTCTGGATGAGAATCCGAAGACAACCCTTCCAGGCCTAATTAGTTACGGCTATGTGGCATTGGGCACGTCACTCAAATTATCATAACAGGACTACACATCCATGGCTGACCGGCTATAAGAACTGGGTGACCCAGCGTATCTGAAAGCTGAGAGCGTTAGTAAGACGCCAGCCCCCCACACCCTGCCACCCCTTCTCTGCCTGAGTTACCGTCCAAAGGCGGCTGTGTCCTGTCGGGAGACTGAAGGCACAAGAGCTCCAGAGAATCAACCAGAGTCCACAGAGCGGCATCCTCCTTCCGTCCATCTGGTTCAGCCAAGGCTTTCTAAGATCTATGCAGTCCCAGAGCCCCTGGCCCTTCTTTATACACACACAGGCTCTACTGTGATTTATTACCCCAAGGACCCGTGGCAGGGCAGCCCTCATAAATCCTACCCCGTGAGACCCAAGCTAGGTGGGTGAAGGATAAGCAGGTCCCGGATGAAGAACAGAGTGGCTGGGGGTGGGGGACAGTGTTGGTGTGGGAAGCATGGCTGAGCCCGGTGGCAGTTGAGTCCCTGCTTGGCCTGGCCCTGCCACCTCTAGCTTAGACAGAGGCTGAGGAGGAACTGCACTGCTCAGGCATGAGGTCAGGGTACAGACAGCACAGAACCTGAGCTTCTCAGCCCCAGCTCGGACACCGCCGCCTATGCTCAAGGCTGCATCCTCTGTGTTAACCTTTGCATTACCGCTGCCTGGCTCCTCCTGGGGTCTGCCCTAGTCTTCCATCTTGCTCATGGGGGATTCCATGTGGCTGCTGCTTGGTGGGAAAAGTAACATCTCATCTAACCTCTGGCATCAGGGAGTGGGTGGGGTGTCCTCTGCGGGGGTTGGTGATGGTGGAAGAAAGGTAGTTGTCAAGGACTAGAGGGGGCATGTCTCCAGGGCAGCTGGTTTCCAGCTCGCCCCCTCCTAGCGGCGGCCCTTCACTCCCTTAGACCTATCTCTCTGCCTCCCTGCTCCCGGTAGCCGAGCCATCTAAATGCACCTGACTCCTATTTCCCCTAGGCTGGCTGTTCTTATGCCGCCTAAGGTGCCCTCTCTGCCCTTCTCCCTGCTTACTTCTCAGGGGCCACTTCAAATAGCCCATCTATTCCATGAGGTAGACCCTGACTGACACGGAACATCTTCTGCTGTGGCCTCTCACCAGCCTTCCCTCCGGGGTGTGACCTCCAGCCCCTTGCAGCCAAGTTACGTGTGTGCCCCTGCCTCTTGGTGACATGTGGAGCTTGTGGCTTATCAAATGAGAGAACCAGTGACTGGCAATGGGCAGGGAAGAGCCCTAGAGTCTACTGAGAACTTACTGTGTGACGTTGAGAGTGGATGTCCCGCTTCCCTTCTCTGGGTCCCCGCGACGCAGCTGGGTGGACCCCGAGGGCAGGCCTGGCTCAGATGCACCAGCATTTTAAGTAGGTGTTACGAAGTGCTGTTCTGCCAGCTGTGGGCAGCAAAGATGATGGGAGGAGCTTGTTTCGGTTGCCAGATGTGCAGTAAGGAATGTGTTTTCACCTTGGAGACAACACCCTCCCTTGTGAAGTTTCAGATGTCTGGGGACAGGTAAGGACTTCTGAGAACTTCTCCCAAAGGAGAGGTCTTGTCAGATTAAATAAGCATTGATTATACATGTCTCTAGGCATCAGAGGGCTTCCTCCCTCTCTGTCTCTCTCTCTCCAGCATTCACTTAGCATTTATTATGCATGTCAGGCTCTTTGCAAGTGGCTGGAGGTTGTTGTTTTGTTTTGTCTTGTTTTGTTTAGGCAGGGTTTTGCTATATAGCCCTGGCTGACCCGGAACTCGATCTGTAGACCAGACTGGCCTTGAACTCAGAGATCTGCCTACCTCTGCCTTCTAAGAGCAGGTATCAAAGGCGTGCATTACCACACCTGGCTTAGATGCTAGAGTTAAAAAGTTGACAAAAATTAATTTCTGCTTGCCAAGCCCAGAGCGTTAGCATTTAGGCCTCTCTACTGGCCTGCCCTTAGGATCCTGACAGGATATCTCCTCAGCTGCAACCACTGAGAGCACCCTCTGGATGCATTTGCTATGTCTCCTTATAAAAGGCGGGCCTTGCTCACCTCCCATCTCTTTCTCTTTCGCTCTTGTCCCCAGGGACCGGTCTCTGCCCCTTCTCCCCCCTCCCCTCAATACACCTCCCAGGCGGGGTCCTGTTCTATGGCGCGACTCCTTTCTCCGGCCGCTTTTAAAATACAACACAGAGCCTTGGAGGAAGGATTGCTATTCTGACACATGAGTATACAATCGCCAGTCCCCAGAACTAAAACAGTAAATGAATGAAAACAAGTAAATCTACATACCGTTGTGCTGATGAGTACCATGTCTCGGGGACTTCCAGAGGCGTCCTCCAAGGAAATCACACGAGCTGTGACCCGAGGCTGCACAGGCAATGAGCAGTTAAAGAAACAAGACTCGAAGAAAGCACGTGCAGAGGGCCTGTGCATGGAGGAAACGTGGTGAGGTAAGGCCCAGAAAAAAGCCAGTGCTTTCTACAACAGAGAAAGTGGAAAGAGATGTCCCACCTCTGGGGTGTTGGGCCCTGACCCCCGTTCCTTGGGGAGCTGTTGCCTTGCTTGCTGACCTTGATCAGATGTCCTCCCTATGCTGATTCCCTGCTGGTTTCCTTCCTCCTAAATAGCTTACCCGAGGTTCCTTGTTTACGTATCCTGTATATTGGTGTAATGCTAGAATGTAAAACATCTGTAGAGAACTTTTGCTCTCCCAGGTTCTCCCACTGTGCTGTTAGCCTGTATTTAAGGCCTCTTCCCTCCTTCAATAAAGGGCATTCTACTGACCCACTGTCTTGGCTCTGTTTCAATCCTCAGCCCCTCGCTCAGACATGGTGAGCGGGTAGTAGCGCGGCCGCTACACTGGGGTGCAGCGGTCAATGGCTCTTACCAAAAGCCTATGTATAGCAGCACTCCTATAGGTCCTTGATAAACTTAACGCCACTATAGTTAATGAGGTAGTTCCATTATTAGATAGTGAAAGATTCAGGTAACTTGCCCAAAATCACAGTGACAGTATGTGTCAGAGTCAAACTATAAATTGGATGGAACCCAGAACCCATTACAGAGCTGAGCAGAGTTCCAAACAAGCTGGGTTCGCCAAACCCACGTTAAGCAGTTGTAGGTTTACTGACAGAACAATGAGGAGCCTCTGATGGTTATGAAAGGAATGATGTAATCAACACATTTTGCAAAGATAGCCTGGCTTTGTGGACTAGCAAGGACTTGGTGTGGGTCCAGGCTGGCATGACCCATGCCAATGAGAAGGCTATAGCACTGGAGTATGCCTGTGCTAGGGTGGGCGTATGGTGGTATTTTATTTGTACTGAAATGTGATTTTAATTGTATGTTAATAAATAAAGTTGCCCGGGGGTCAGAGCTATTAGAGCCATAGCAAGAGCGTGGCGGTGGCGGCGCATGCCTTTAATCCCAGCACTTGGTAGACAGAGATAGGTAGATCTCTGTGTGTTCAAGGATACAGCCAGCATTGGAGACACTCGTCTTTAATCTCAATCCCAACCATAGAAGACCTGGAAGTCTCTACAGACAGGTAGTGACAAGGGCAGTAATGTGTTTGGGTTTACAACCAATGAGAAGGCAGAACAGCTAGACTATATAAGACAAACACAGGAAATAGGTCCTTTTCGGAGAGCTCTCTTGGCTGAAGAGGATCCCTGAAGCAGGAAGGGTGAGGCTCTTAGCTCTGACCTCTTGGCTTTCTTCTCTGAATCGGCTCTGTGTTTCTTATTTAATAAGACGGTTGGTTACATCTACATGGGTGGGCTTGGAAGTTAGAGGAGTTGGGAGGAATTTAGGCAAGGCCCAGCAGTACATGGGCATAGAGACTGAGGAGCAATGGTTGGAATCTTGATGATTGTGTAGTGGGAAGGGAAGGAAGTTGGGGGAGATCCTGGGTTTGAGGGCAACTTGGGTGTGGGCTTCCTTTGAGAAATCCCAGAGGTGATGGTAAATGACCCGGAGGAAGGGCTTATGCATCATTTAACGCAGATGTGAATGAAATGAGCCTGGAGAAGACAGGAAGCAAGACCAGTACTCCAACAGACCAGCATGGAGGAGCAGTCTGCAGACAAGGCCACAATGGAGTGAGCAGATAGGTGATTATTCTTTATTTTTTGTTTTTGGTTTCTCAAGACAGAGTTTCTCTGTATAGCCCTGCTGTCCTTAAATGTGCTCTGTGGACAAAGCTGGCCTCAAACTCAGAGATTCATCTGCTTCAGTCTCCTCAGTGCTGAGATTAAAGGTGTGTGCCACTACAGCCTAAGGTGACTTCAAATAGTAACTCAGAAGGACCAGAAGAAGGAAAGGGAGGCAGGACTAATGACTCCACACAGGAATGGGTGACCCCTCCTCAGAAACAGGAGGCAGCAGGCAGGTGTGCGGGAGTAGTTGGTCGGTTTGGTATTGGGAGCTGATGGTATTCTTTCTTGCTCCCGAGACTGTAGTCTTCCCCAGCCAGGAGGCTCGAGGAAACATCGAAGGTTTTGAAATGATTATGGGGAGTGAAGAAGCCGATCTTGGAAACCAGAGGATTGCAGAGGCTGAAGATGTTTAATGGCGGGAGCCTAGGACTTCATAAGGAAGCCAGCTTGCCCCGTTCCTACTCCCCTAGCACCTAGAGCACACTGTCCTGTGAACACAATTGCAGTTAGCATGCTCATTGGAGCAGCTGTGGCTCCTTGCTAGCGACCCTCAAGATGGAGCCTGTTGACATTCCTTCCCAGAAGAGGGGGGTGAGGTTATTAGACCCTTCTGAGATTCCAGCTGCTCCTCCCTAGACCAGATGTAGGTGATTCTGCCCAAGCTGCAGGTGGTTGTGTGGTCTGTGGAGGGGCTGGGGTACAGAGACTGCGGAAAGTTATCTGAAGGGGGCGCTCGGCCTATGCCACTCTGGGGAAGTCATCACCTGTGCTAGGGTGAGACCTTTTGATGGTGTAGCTGCTTCCGGATCGCTCATGCTTTGTAAGGAAGCCTAATCAACTCGTTGGTTCAGCAGAGCGGACTTTAATGGAATCATACTCCAGCCTGTTGGTGGTTTATCTGGAGTGAGTAGATGTTCGTGTCTCCCCCAGGAAAAGACCAGGCAACAGTTCCCAGCTGTTTAGACGCAGACACAGGAAATATGTGGCTGGCTTTACCCTAGGGTTGGGCGGGTGATAAGAACAAAGGAATTTATGGTCTTAGCAAAAGAAAAAAAAAAGAGGTTTGAGGCCGAATCTCACTCTATAGCCCAGTCTGGCCTCAAAGTCGTGATCATTCTGTCTTAGTTTCTCAGGCACTAGGATTACAGGACTGTGCCCCCCACACCTAACACAAACTGTTATTGACTGAAGAACTGTGGGCCTAAGGAGGGAAATCCAGATAGGACAGGATGAGCCAAACTAGAGTGCAGAATGAGAAGAGTGAGCAGGCGTGGTGACAACAGCTGAGTCCCAGGCTGGGGTGGCCAGTCAGAGGAGCGCGTCAGGTGATAAGTGCAGATTTGGATGTGGATGATGGCTGAGGTGGAAGAGAGGTGAGGCTGTTGGGAATGGGATGTCCAAGGAGCTGGAGAATTCTACACCAAATGACCAATGCACGTTTAAAGGTATAGTTCAAGCTAGCCTTGAACTTGTGAGTCTCTTGCCTCTGCTGCGTCAGCATTTCCTACTGGCATGCGCTATCACGATCAGCCACCCAGGGAACGAGGAGGTCAGGGTACAGCCAGGTCACCATCTGCGTGGTTAGTGATGTCACTGGGGAGGATTACAGAAGGCACAGGGCGGAGCAAGTCTACAAGTTGGGAGCCAAAGTCTGTAATAAATGCCAGGGCAGGACCTCCAAGTCCAGCAATAACACAGTGAGTGAGTGGAGAAGGGCCAAGAAGAGAAGCCGGGCTAGAAGGCCAAGGTCATCTGCTGGTGTCTACGTCAGCCTGGGAGGCAAACGAGCCAGTGCCCCCGGGGACACAAGAGGAAACCAAGATCCAGAAGGACAAGCAGTATATCCTAACTCACCACCAGTGGGTGTAGCCCCCAAATCCCACTCTCCACACCTTGAGGCCCTTGCTGATATGGAGTCCATCATGACTCTCAGGGGAGGGACTTAAAACGGATGATGTCTTTTTTTCCATCCTGGTTGTAATCTGCCATAACTGAGAGTGTCAGCTCATCTACCCTTTTTCTCCCTCTGCTCTTCCCAAGCCCTAGAGGGGAGGGGGGAAGCATGAGGAGAGGACCGATGGGAAGGGGCCGTAGGGACTGGTGACTGACAGCACAGACCCACCAGCCACCTTGATTGGGCAGCTCTAGCATGCTTTGACCCCTTAGCGGCCCCATGACGTAGGCACAGCTTACCCCCACTGCTCAGACGAGGATGCTGATGCTGCAGAGTGGAGGAAGGGAGGGCAAGCTGAAGGTTCGACCCTGTAACTTCCCTGTAGCTGGGGGTGTTAGGATGGATGGGAGTCCAAGGCGATGGGTGCTGAGCTTGGCCAGAGGGAGTGATGCCAAACCTACAGACCGGGGCATAGCTTCTTAGCACTTCTCTAGCACAGGTTAGACCACAACACACTGAGGCAGGACCTTCACAAGTAAGTTAGGGTGAAATATGGACTCTTCTAAAGCAAAGGCACAAAGCTACACAGAGAAACCCTGTCTCAAAAAACCAAAAAAAAAAAAAAAATTAAAAAATAAAAAATTAAATAAAGCAAAGGTAGGCCCAGGGGTCCACTGCAGGCAGCAGACCTGGGCCTCAGCACCCTGTTTCCCCAACACAGCCTCATTCTTGGCATCCATCCTTGCCTCTTGTCAGTGTGTGCAACACACCTCCATCAGGGTGGTGTGTGTGTGTGTGTGTGTGTGTGTGTGTGTGTGTGTGTGCGTGCGTGTGCGCGGTCCCACGGTCTGCTTGGCCAAGTGTGAAAGAAGTGTGAGTAGTTTCACCAGGAGATGGAGCAGCGGAGCAAG